TTAAAATAAAGTATTTTAATTATAAAAATTTAAAAATAAAATTGATAAAAATATAGAGAAAAAATAGTAATTAAACCGCTAAGAATCATAGAGAATGTAAGCTATATCAGTGTGTTAATTGACTCTTCCAACAATGCATAGTTGCATACCAATTACCCACTTGTAGGGGAAGACAATGCAGATAAGATAGAAGCGAATTATGATAAGGACTTTCATTGGTGACGAATTTATATTATAGTGAGGGTCAACAAATATTTCCTCTCATTTTATTTAAATTATTAATATATATTTAAAAATATTATATTTCACATCTCCTATTTTATATATTAAATTCAGTAATGATTATTTTTATATTTATATTTTATTTATATATATGATAATGATTTATTAATTTATTTATATAAAAAAAAAACTATTCCATTAACTTAAGATTTTGAATTTGTCACTTACCATCACAAATTATTGACACATTATCAAAATTATCTAAAAAATAATGAGATAGATTTCATGTTAATTATGATATTTAATTATCATATTTATGGAGTTAATTAGAGGACAAAAAATCTGTTATGATTATCATGAACCACAAATGATAGAGATAAATACTAATAATAATACTTTCTAAATTTTTCTTTAACATCTTTTAATTAGTGAGCCGTGTTCTAAATGTGTTCAATGATTAAAAAGAAAAATGATTTCTATAAAACAAGTATGGGGCGTTGTCAAGTAATAAAAAATAGATTTTTTTTACAGCAATAAAAAATACATGGTGGTGTAGAAAAAATACATGTTAAAAAAAACTTATAAGAAAGATAAAAAAAAAACTTATAAAAAAAACTTCAATGCACATTTGATTTATAGATTTAAAATTGTATATTTTATTTTTACTCAACAAACATAATTCACTTATTATTTCAAAATTAAAAATTAATCTACAAGATGAAATAAAGATAGAAGTTTCATTAGGGTCTGAAATAACATTTCATATTTTTTCTAAAGGACATAATAACAATTAAATTAGGAGAGAAAAAATGGAATAAACAAAGGTAGAAAACAAAATTCACCCTTTCTTTTTTTACGGAAAATAACAAAAATCTTTAAAATCATCAATTAAACTAAGTGTGTCATTGATCCATGTTTTCATGAATTTGATGAAGAAGTAAAAAAATAATTTTTTGTTTTCATATTTTTTACACGAGTTAAATGTTATGTACGTGAAATCCTGCTCTGGCTAATGAAATGGATCAATCCTTCGTCCTCCTTCTTTTGCCTTTTGCTGTTTTTTTCAAACCTACGTCAATATATTAGTAACAAGTCTATAACATTATTTATATATAATAAGGATGAAGGGCTAAGAAATTAATTGTTCGGCATAAAAGTTTTCCTTAAAAGGGAAAATGATATGTCCTACACAAAGACTATCATCAGATAAATAGAAACTTACTTATGAAGATGAACAAATGATCATAATGACATTTTGTCATTGAAGGTGACAAGTAGCTGCATAAAAGCTTTTAATTCGTTCTACCAAATCTGTCGTTTTCAATCTTCACAACTTTGTATTGGGTAAATGAACAAAATAATAATAAAAAAAAACATGTTTTTATTTCGTATAACATAAGCCAATCATCTAGAGGCATTATTCAAAATTTTCTGATGACTAATTTTTGAACAAAGAGATGCAACATTCTTACCAGAGGTAAAATTGAATGAATCGAAATGGTAGAAAACAGTTACAAATTTAATAAAGGGTGAGTTGTAAAAATTAAGCTCTCCAACACTTGAGATAGTAAATATTTAACCATAATGATTATATTGTATTATGGTATTATTGAGTTTAAAATTTATAATATGAAAATCAATCCAAAATTCTCATTCATAATTTATAATAAAATCAATTCAAAATTTTCAATCATGAATGAAGGGTTGAATTATGAATGAAGAGTCATAAATAAAAATTTTTGATAAAAAAGACAAATGAAAAGTCATGAATAAAGAATCATGAAAAAGTATTATATTATCTCCTATAAATAGAGAGACTTGTGAAGAGAGTAACTATCTGTAGCAACCTCGGTCGCGACGGGACGGCGAAAAATAAATTGAAAAAGAGGAGTCGCCACCAATGTTATTTTTTACGGAAAAACATTGGAAAAACCATAAAATAGAAAACAGTCTACGAAAACCAAATTTTGAGTTCGGGAGTCAATTACGTGTGAGGAAGGTATTAGCACCTCACAACGTTCGTCCTAAGACGATTACCTTTAATTAATTAAACTAATTATTTATAATTTATAAAAATATTTATCTCACTAAAATAATCAAATATATTTTTTTTTTTTTTGGGCTCGACAAGATTTAATTCTTGCTCCTACGTATCTTCATGTGCAATGAAGAATCAGAGTTACGTAGTTCTTTGTAGAAAATATTTGTGTGTTGATATTTTTTAATTAAATTTTATTTTTGTTAAATATAAGATTCTTGAACTGTCTCAGCTCATTCATCTTAAAAA